TAACTCTAAAAATATCCATAGTTTGAAGGTAAAACGCTGCACAGCTTCATTAAACACATTAAACTCAGTGCAGACAACACATCAGCTGATTCTGAGGAGGTCTGGAGGAACGTTTCTTAGATGTTTTTATGAGCACACTCGCTGAAGAAGACAGAGCAGGCAGCCTGACAGGTGAACCAGATCCCGTTTTATACATCCACAACATTTGCATGCGTCACATCTGCTGACATTACCCACAATCCCCGGAGCCGGCTGGGCTTTGTGTGCACATATCTGATGCGTGGAGGAAACGCCGGCTCTGCAGATTCGACGCTCATTTGGTATTCTGACATCAGCCGAGCTTCAGCCGGCGTCTTTGTCGGGAGGTTTTAACACCTCAGTGACCAGAGTCTCTGCATCACAAGTGGAAGGAAGACGAACGGCGCCGGCAGCCCGGATCTGAGCACGTTTAGCGCCTCAGAAATAAAAACGTTCAGATGCAGCAGCTGTGAGGCTGAGAGCAGCAAACCGGCTTCATGAGAACAGTTTAACGGGATCGATGCTGGACCCTCATGTGAACCCGCAGATTAGAAGACCTCCAGAAAGCTGGTCGGCTGAGACGCAGGGATTTAATTAATGAGGCAGACGACGCTACAACCATGATGCAAACCTTTCTGAGTGGGTTTTTAAAAAAATCGATGGGCAGGAACCGGAAGCCGCGGCGCCGAGCGACTTCTTACCTTTTCTTGAACTTAATAAATATGAACTATTAACGAACTAGAACTGTTTCACTGATGAATCTGGGACCACGTTTCCAGGATTTGAGACCAAATCAGCACTTTAAGCAGATTTTTACTGACTTTTTTTTGTTAAAATCATCAGCATTCACCTGCATCTTCACTCCGACTGTTAAAAAGCACATTTCTGAATCTATAGAACAGTTATTTTTCATGATTTTTCCGACTCGGAGCTCTTAAAAGTCAGTGAAAACGGTTCTTTAGTTTGATTCCTGGAAGTTCCTGGGATCAGGTAACAGCTCCTCAAGAGAGAAGAGTAAAAAACAGAAAGTGTTTTATGGAGCCCAGATTAAATATTTATAAACTCAGTAATTTCATTATCAGTGAAACAAATTCAATTATGTCCAATTTCCGCCTTCGTGGTCTCAGTTTGAAGCAGAGGAACCGACCGAGCGACGTTTTAGAGGCGACGCCTGATGTTTCTGCTGCAATTAAACGGTTAAAGAGAATAAAAAGCTGAACCAGCATTTAGCAGAACTGTTAAAAACCTCAACGTGTTTGTCTGCCTGTAAGAAAAATCAGAAAAATCCTGCAAAGACAAGACTGACCTCCATGACCTCAAAACAATGCAAGAAGTTTGGTTTAACTATCAAAATAAAATTTTAAAAAATGTAATAAAAAACAAAACATATAAGTTTTTATGGTTAAATCAAGTATTTTGTATATTTTAAAAGTAGAAATAAATGAGTTTAATTTTGATGAAATTGTACAACTCCTGTGAAGCAGATTTACTTCAAAACAACACGTTTGGTTTAACATTTAAGCTGTTTTTTTTTAAAGCAGTAAATAAAACGATATACATATATTCCAGATTGTATACATATATTCAATTGTTATGTTGTTACATAAATAAAAAATTTGGTGTAAATTTGTTTAAATAGAAGAATAATAATGAAATTCCTCATAAACAAATGTACTTTAAAAAAAAAAAAAAAAGTGTAACCTTTTTCCATAAAAAATAAATAAAAAATGGAGAAAATATATCGTTAAATTTATGTTTTTTTTTTTTAAATGGTTAAATCAAACATCTTGTTTTTTTTTAAGGATAAATAAATATTTTTTGTTTAAACTTTACTATTTTTCTTCAAGTTTGTCTGAATGTGACAAAAATAAAGTTAAAACAAATGTAAACCCATTCATTTATATTTTAAATCAAAACAAGATTTTTGGTTTTAACCATTAAAATAAAAATCAAATCATCATCATCAGCTCTGTAACCGATAATAATAATAATGATAATAATAATAATAACTGTTCAGTTTCGGCCACAGCGTGTTCTACAGTCGGGTTTTTTTGTAGCGTTTAGAGCCTTAACATGTAAATTATTCACATCATTTTAATCCATTAATGTCGTTTTTTTACTCTAAACCACGACGGCGGCCATTTTTAACGTGCTGTGGATGTGCAGCGATGGTGGCGGC